TTTTTTGATTTTTCTGTATTCTCTAGTAAGTTGTTTGGCATACTTTATGTAAGCACAGATTCCTCTGATTTTCTTTCTCTCTTCAACAGAAACCATGTTATGCCTGTAAAACAGACACTTCTTGTCTTATAGGTGAAAAAGACACTAAGCATGAGTTGGATGTGGTCCTTGGGACCATCTGTTTTGCAAATTGTGCCATTGTGCTAACCCTGTTAAGGCAACCTCAAGTTCTATTAGGATCTTTTCATATAGATAAATGAAAAAATATAGATACATATATGGATGAATACACCTCAAAGGCAGGATGTGAAGCACTGATAGGCATATAGGTATGATTAAAAAAGGAAGCTAAGCAGCATAGTTCCTCATGGGACCACAACAAACCTGGTGAGCAGAGTCTTGGTGCTTGACTGTGTACAACTGTTATCTATGGCCAACTCAAATTACTAGTCAACACACAATTGTAATTTAAATGAAACTTAGTTACTCTTCCAGTAACTTTGGAAGCATTTGTGGAGAGGGTGTGGAGCAACACTTTCATTTGGCTTTCTTGAAAATAACTGGCATTCTCCATTCGTAAGGAAGCTCATTATGCTTTTTTTGTTCAGTCATGTAAGTAAACTTCTGGAGGATCATAAATGCCTAATATAACAGTTGCCTTCAGGCATTCTTAACTAAAATTGTATTTTATCTTCCACCAGCTGTGCATTTCCAGGAGTCTAAATGATCCTTAGGATAAGCTGGCTATAAGACTTGCTGCTCTAAACACAGAGAGCCATAGTAACAAATAGCATTGTATTTTTCACATGATCTTTCTGCAGTTGATTCGCTCTTATGGATGTATGAACAGTTGCACAGTTTGTAGAGAAAATGGTCTGTTCCTAGAAAGCTAGTTCCTATTAATTCCTAAATTATTTGTATAACTTTTTTTTCCATGCATGAAACATTCATATGAATGGCATTAAGCCTTAAGGTACCAAGCTTATGCCTTATATTATCCTTCTCCCAGGAAAAGTGTGATAGGAGCAGTTTTGTTCAAATTAAGTACTGATTATTTCAGCCACCTAAATCCAGTTTGTGATTTTCAGTGGATAAGGTGCTGTCATTCTCCACTTCTTACCCTGTTCTTTTCTCACAGCTACGCTGTGCAATGTTGCATAGCTACCAATCTATAACCCAAATGTTGTTGCAATAGAGTGGAGAGAGTTTTGTTGCTCTCTGGGCAATATATAGAGGATGTATATTTTATGAGATGCTAAGCAAGCTCTGCATGACTATAAATTTCTGTGGGTTTTCCTCATGCTGTACATAGCTGCTAATAAAGTTATTTACATTTTAAGCATATTTTCACTTTCGTTGTTCATTCTGCTTTTTTCAAGTTTGAAAACTGAAGTAATTTTAGTAATTAGTTATTTCAGCAAGAGAGGTGGAGATAGTCTGCTGGGCACCGTGCAGGTACAGAAAGTGCTACAGCCAAGGGGTGGTTGGCTTTCCCTCTCCATGCACAAAAATCTGGGCTCTGGTTACTGAGGTCAGGGAGAGAGATCCCTCTGGATCATGCCTGCTGGAGTAAAGACCAACTCACTCATTAATGCCTTCATTTAGCATGACAGAAAGTGGTGAGAGGGAAGAGGATCCTGAGCCTGCAGCCTTGTGGAAAGCCAGTCAGGTGAAGCCTCTCTGCAGCCTTGCAGCAGACTGAGCCCTCTTTTCTTTCCTGCCTTTGTGGTTGAAGGAGAGAAATGGAGGGCTGCAGAGGGAATAATCAGCAGTACTCTCCTCAGCCAGGCAGCCATCTCCTCCTACTGACCTTGAAGCAATGAAAAAGGGATAGATTCTTCTGCAGGTTACCTCTGTGTGTACAGATAATGAGAGCAGAGAGTAATGATCATAAATCTACATGGCTTTGCCTGTTTGAAAGTCTGGGCCATGGGAAAAATGACAGTACATAGTTTATTTTCAGTCTGTAATTCACATAAGTATTTGTTCCAAAGTGTTTCTTCTGGAGGTGTTTTTTTTTTGCCTTGTACTTCATTTTATGCAGCAGTGGTTTTAATTCAAATGAACCTATTCCATTTCGTTGACTTCAATTTTCAATATGAGAATAGCTGTATTTCCCAAACCAGCAATAAACCGGTTTGATAATTTCATTTTTTTAAGTGTAGTAACTTTTCATTAGTTAATACAGTAGAGTTATACTGGTCTAGAACTGTGCCTATGAAAGAAAAAAAAAAAAAAACAAGTCCAAAATACAAAATAGATATGTAGGACTTGTATTTAACATTTCTTTTAGAAAATAAAAATAAATAAAACAAACAAAAAAAACCCCACCCCACCCACAAACTCCCTCCCCCCCCCCCAAAAAAAAGGAAAACTCTTCTAAATTAGCTATTGTTTAAAAAAAAATCCAACAAAAAATAAAAGTAAAAATAAAAAAAAAATAAAATTAAAAAAAAGCCACCACCTTGGAATTTGGGAGTTTGCTTTCAGATGTTGAACTGCTATACACAAAGTAACCAGAAAGTTGTCTTTGGCAATTTGATCATTCCCCTCCCAGTGAGATGAATTTCATTAAGGCAGTTCCTTGTAAAACATTAACTCAGAAACTGGAAGGAATCTGAGACAGAAAATAATTAAGTGACCCTAATGATGTAGTAGTCCAACTACCGTGGCCAATGGATAAAGAATAGTAGCAAGGTGTTTTAGTACTTAGCTAAGATGCCAGGGTAATGTCAGCCAATAAATGATGTCATGCAGTCAGAGGCAGGGTTAAAGACTGACAGTTTTGTCTTTTAATCCTACTACGTACGATAACAAAACATCAGGAAGAACTATATTTAAAAACAGAGGAAATGTACTGAGCCACTAGAAGAGCTTGTTGCATTGTTTTCCCTCTGAGCTAGATCTCAAGTGAGATGATGGCTGCGCCAGTACTGAGCCTTTCCCCCTCCTCAGCACAGGATTAACCTCTGAAATGGCAGCAGCATTTCCTCCCTGGAGCAAATGGGACTGTGCTGGGGAGGTTTAACACGTTACTTGTATTCCCATGATGGAGTCACTGCGTGAGTGTTGGGAGCAAGGCTGAAGCATAAGGGAGATGCTGACCCCTCACTGAGAATGCAGCACTTGGGGTTGACAGAATGAAACACAGTCTGACCCAGAGCGTGGGGGGCCTGGAAGTCTGGCACTCTGGAGCTGCTAGGATGGTGGTCATAAGTTTTTCCTCTTTGGACGCCAATTATCCTGTTAGGGCTTGCCTTTGGCCAGAGCAAACACTGTAGCTGAGCTGTGCTTGTTGGGAATTAGGGAGGATAGAGGGAGGAGGTTGCCTGGCTTTGAGCTCTCTGCTGGAGAGCGGGAGGTGATGGCTGGCCACAGTGTACTCTGGCTGCTCCCCCCGGTACAGCCTGGGGCCTGGAGGTGATCTGGTCATGTGGTAAGCAGATTTAGTTCATCAGCCAACCAGCCCTGGCCAGAAAAACATGTACTGACATCAGTTCAGTGTGTTGAACAAGGTTGGTTGCAGTAAGACGAGTGCCAGAGCCAGCTCCGAGGCAGAATCATTCAAAGGGTTCCCAGGGTGAAATTTCCCTCTTCCAGCAAGCTGTTTCAGCTCACTCACGAAGACATACCCTAATCTGACCCTTTGTGTAGATTATTGTGTTTGGAGTGTTTCTGGTACTCAAGTCTCTATAATTTTTTTTCCTACACAGCCATGTTTTAAGGTTACCTCCTGTGGTCAGGATAACCACCAGTTTTCATGAACTCTGCTGACTTGCTCTGGTGAAAAGTTTGTTCCTCAAAATCTAGGAAATAAGTTTTAATGCTTAAAGACTCTCAGCCAACAGTCAAGCAAAGTTGAATTCCAGGTTTGTTTTGAGAGATTGTAAGGTCTTTCATCAATTTAGGTATTAACATAGGGCCTATTATAGCAGGGGCATTCTCCATTTTGTCCACTTATGAGGTTAAGATATCAAAAGGGTTTAAGGAGTCATTAAGCCCAAATGCTGTTTTTAGAGTTCCTTGAATTAGTGGAAATATAGTGAGATATTCAGGGTGTGAATCCAAAGTGACCCAAGTTGATCCAAACTGGTCCTGTTTTAAAACTGCCCCACAGGCACAGCCTTTATTTATACTGTGCCAGTGAGGGCACTCGGAGTAGGGAAGCCCTTCCTGGCTTAAGGGGCTGAAACAGGAGAAAATGAAGCAGATCAAAAACCAGCATTATTCTGCCAAACTTGCTCTCCAGACATCTCCTTTGCAAGGGAGAAGCGAGGAATCCTGAGGCAGGGAGTTGGGAAATGGGGGAACCTCTGATTTAAAGGGACTTTAACTGTTGTGGGGCACTTTGAGATTTCAATGTCAGTCATGTGCCTTTAATTGCTGCTAAAAATGCCAATTTCAAATAATAGTATAAATAGCCTGAGCAGAGCTGTAGCTAACTGTGTAATTTAATTCCATGAAACTATTGACATGTTTAAAAGTATGCAGATGCTAGCGTCTTATGCTAGATCAGGATCTTAATTATGCATAGTTTGAGATAATTGGGTTGCTTTAGCTTACTATCTCAACCTGTTAATTCTAACTACTAAATTAGGATTCAGCTGTAATTCCTGTATGTTTAGTAGAACTATTTCAATTTGCTCCTGACATTAGGTAAGTGTTGTGATTAATTCTGCTTCTGTATTCTGGTTTTCTGTGGGAGAGGTCTGAGTTTAACACCTTCATATACCAGGTAAAGTCAGACAATTACATCTTTGCCCTTTGCTGTGATTTTTTCTCTTTCTTGTCTTTTAGAAGCTCATACTTAAAAATTCATCAAAAAAAGTACCAAGTTTGACATTTTTAACAGAAACAAAAAATGTGGTACAGATCACATCTGTGGTCAAGCCTGTGTTGAACAATCCAACCTTTCTCTTAATCTAAGGTTTACATGCAAGGGCAGACTGATTATCTGCTTACAGGTGCAGGAGTATAACTGAATGTCATTGTTTCCACAGATGAGCACCATGCCAGGACTGCCCACAAGGCCGTGCTTCTATGACATTGACCTTGACCCCATCACAGAGCAAGTGAAAGGATTGTTTTGAGAGTGACATCCAAATCCAGGTCAGTCAACAGCCTTTATTTTCCTGTTCCAGCTTGGGGGAGGATGTTTGTGCCTAGCATGTGTGTAAGAAAGGTTGTCAAGAGTTTATCTAGGCTCTAGTTTCAGTAAGGATTTCAGAGGCTTTGGAGGTGTATTTCATAATGTGTAATTTATCACGTGGGTTTCTCATTTGCTGAATGGTGACTGGCACTTTGCTGTTGTCCACTAATGGTGCCTTTTGGATTTCCTGGCACTGTCAGTTTGGCATCAGGAGGAGCCAGCTCTGCAACTGTATGGCTCTTGGCTATGGAAAAAGGCAGTCTGAAGGAACCATGTCAACTTAGTCACCTCAAAAGAAATACTCCTTGATACTGCACTCACGTGGCAGTGTGTATCTGTCACCACCTAGGTATCAAGGAAGATATTTTTGTTTGTTCATGAGCTCTGCTTTGTTTGTTCATGTTTTGTTTTCATAGCTGTTATCATCTCTCTCAAATGGTAATAAGCATTTCAGGAACACAAAGCTCTCCTCTTAGCCTGTTTTTCATGCTGGATTCTCTCCCTTTTCCTCGAAGGTTGCAGTTCCCCCCCCCACCTCCTCCCTTTCTCTAAGTACTTAATCTTCTTGGTGTCCTGCTTTAATTTTGTGCAGCACATGTTCCTCACTTAAAAATACAAGATGTTATGAAAATATTTCATGCTCCTCCACTTTAACCTTTTAACATAATAAGTGGAGTAAGAGAGAATGTAACCCTGACTGAAACAAACCATGTGTGCCTGTCATGGGATTCTCTCCTTTCATCACTTAGCTCTCTCCCCCAATAGATTGGTCTGGAGAGCAAAAGGGTTTTTCTTTTTTAAGACAGAACAACACTATTACTATGAGCTAATAGGACTGTGATGGGACCCCAGATCAGCCACAGCTTTGAGGTGAATGTGCCCAGGTGCTTCAGCCCTGCTTTAGCAGTCCTTTCTTACTGTGGACTGAGGGAAAGGGCTTTCCTTTTCTATTTCTGAGTTTTGATGGATTGTTTGGAGGAGAGGAGAGGTTTGCACAACCCAACCAGACCAAGTGAAATGTTCACTTGCTCACACATTCACGTGAATGCCACAATATTCATGAGAATAAGAGATTCTGAGAGCAGATTCCACTAGTTTGTGTGTGTGTGCCAGTCAGGACAAGTAAAAAGCACCTACCTTGAAAGTTAACCTGCATGCACAGGTAATTAGCTGTATGCAAACCATCCCTGCCTGTTCTGTGGCTGGGTGGCATTGCACATACCACTCCTTGGCACATATCCCATTTTTGTTACTGATACACATGATATGTCTGGCAGCTTCATGCATACATATTGATTCATCATGTGTCAGCCATGTAATTGCTTCTGAATCATTTGGAATGACTGTAGAATCCTAATGTAAAATCTATATGCAGATTCACATAGCCTGCTTAATTGGGTGTTTACTGCCTAGTCTTACACAAATCCATCCAAACCAGGGACTGATGAGTTTGGAAGAACAACAGTAATTAAGCAGACAAAATACTCCATTCCAACTGTGAAGACCTTTCATTGGAAGCTGTGCATGAAATAAAAATGTTAAACTTAGCTTTTAGTCAGTGATGGTGTTTTGTCAGATATAAAAAGAAATGCTAATGAAGTCACAAAAACATAATAGGTAGGAAATAACATATATAGCCAACTGTTAATAAATTATTTTAATTTCATTGCAGACGTATTGTTGGCATCTGACAGATGAATGATTCATTAAGTTTAAGCCTTTTAAATAAAAAAACAGCTTGACTATATATATATATATATATATATATATTTCACCAATATAGGCACATGCTCACCTGTCTTCCTACCTTTAAGAATCTAAATAAATGCCTTGTGAGTATGGTAATACCCAGTGAGCACCACACAAAGTAGTCAAGTGCTCATTAGCTCTAGAATTCATCTGGTTCATGTGCTAGATTTGTACATTGCTAATTTTGGAAGAAGAGAGAAATAATATTCCCATGTAGTCTTTACTCCCAACTTTCTGTGGAGAAGTTTAGTAGTATCCTTTGTTTTCACATACACACTGAAGTGAACCCACACTGTAGGTGATATTATGCTTTTGAGGTCTTTGTGTGTTTGTTTCTGTGATGGCAAATCAAGGGATTTTTTTCCATTTAATTTTAATTCTTCATCATTTTAGTGTATGATGTAATATTATCAATAATATAGTGTTTTGCCAGGTCATTAGGGCTGATTCAGATCTTTAAGACATTTTAATTGAAAAATATTTAGAAATTTGTGGAAGAGCTGCAGGTATTTCATTATAAACATGCCTGTAGAGCTGAGAACAGCTGTTTTAGTGTGCAGTTAATATCCTCCTCTGCAATGCTTATCTTCAGACCTGTGAAAGAGATACAGGCAGAAGTTCCTGCTTCTCAGGATGCTGTGTGAGGCTCTGGCTGAGCTAAAACACTGGGTGTCATTTTCCACTCTGATTTTTCTCTACCACTTCACACCAGTCATTTGAAGATGCTCTAAAAAGTCATAGAAGCAAAAACCTTATCATAAAAGTCAACTCTGTTTTTCCTCTGTTGACAAATAGCCAATACATGGGTAGACAATATTGCAGTCTCTGTGTAGGAGCAACGTGATCTATCAAAAAAATGAAACATTAATATACAGAAATGAACCCAAAGGAATCTGGCCAGTCCTTTGTCACTGGCCACTGTCCTATTTAAATTATACTGCCCAACTCATACACTACGAAAGTTGAAATTGTTATTGTTTCCTTAGGATCTGTCTGTAGAGAGCACCAGTCAGAGTAAGACTTACGTGGAGACAAGACTCCCAATAGGAAAAAAAAAGTAATATTTGCTCAGTGGGAGGAAGTCCCAAACTGAACCTCCACAAGTAAAGTCTCTTAAGGACCCTTGTGAGCTCTAAGGATCCCTCTAATTTAATCTGTGGCAGTCGGTGCCTGCTCTTACTGTGCAGGCTCTGAGTATCTGGGTTGATGGCAGCAGGGGGAAATTGTTCTCCTCAGCTGGTTTTGACTTCATAAGGCTGCCACTGCCAACAGTGGCTGATGTATTCTCACACTCTTCAACACTGGCACAGCATCAGAATTATTTTAATACACAGCCTTAAAAAAAGCTCAGGATACTTTGAGCTTTTCTGAACTTGAGAGGAGTCACAGGGCTCTGCCTGTGAGCATCTTCATGGCCATAAAGAAGTCCCTAAAGAGAGAGGAGACCAAAACTGGTGTTCTAAAATTGCAAACTATTTGTTAGATGTTTTCATCTTAATTTATTCAAACACAAATAGAAAGTGTTTTAAGACCTTTCCCTTACATCCATTAAACTGAGCCTATGGACCAAAAAAATACTTCCTTTAGCCTCATTCCACAGTATTAGCTTTCAGTCAGCAACAATTACTACAGTAATGTGCACTCTGAAGTCTGTATCATGCAGTACTAGTACAGATTTTTGTTTCTCACCTAGTAGGGCTGCACAGATAATAAATAGGAGGTGCATATGGCATAACTATACATTTTTGTTTATTATAGTTAAGGCAAAAATATCCCATTTCACTGAAGCACTCATTTTAGAATGTGACGCCTTTTTTTTTTTCTTTAAAGGAAGCAAAGATATCTTGTTTCAATATATAAATTTCTTATCTTTGTCATTTCAGAAGCCTGAAAATTAAGAACTCCAACTTTCCCGTTTCCTGCAAGTAGGAGACAAAAAATGAATCTGAAATATTCCTGTTATGTGTCTCTGGAGCAATGTCAAGATAGACCAAAGAGCAAAAGTTTAGTCTTTCTTCAAACTAGTTTTTGTGATGAAATATAGCTGTACGGTTAAAAAAAAACAAACAAAAAAAAAAACCAAAAAAACCAAACAAAAAAAAAAAAAACATGGCAAGCTAAAGTTTTACTCTCTGTAATGCAGGAAGCTCTCTACTAGGGCTTACGCTTGTTTGTGGATAAAATGACACTGAAAAAGAGCAGTTTTTCAACTCAGAGTTTTTGTCTTTTCTCAGAGGAGTGTACAGAACTATTTCCTTTATCTTGGCTATCTACTAAAACCTTGCATAAACATGATTATGCTGTGTGACCAAGCCTATTTCTCTCTGAAAAGTACACTTTTGCTCCTGGCATTCAAGAGCTGAAACTACACACAGATTAACTGCACATTTTTGAGTTATCATCAAGCGTTGCTCTGGATGCATTTGGGCAACAGCCAAGCTTCAAGCAAGGAAGATATCAAACAGAGAAAGAACAGAGCATGTATTTTGTAAAAAGTTTTTAATGTATAATTTGTTTCCTTGTTGGGCAAAGATCTTTTGAAACACTTAAGCCGTGCCTGTCTTGTATCCATAGGTCTGTCTTTATCCGAAGCGTGTGTTACAGGCTGTCCAGCTGATTATGTGCTTGTTGTGGTGAAGCTGGTTGTTCAGACAGGGCACTGCTCCTTCTGAAGCGCTGTTTTGCTCCTGTTCGTGGCTAATGAAGCCTCCTGCTGTGCTGGCTCCCGACCTAGAGCTCTTCCCTGGCAGTACACAACGGCCCAGTAACAACAGAGGAACGTCCATCAAGCGGGGATGCAGACAGGGCACAGCTTTTTTCTGCTTCATTTTGCAGGTTTTAACGGCCACACTTGTACAAGTGGAGAGTATTTCCATTTGAAGGGGCATTCAAACAAGTTGAATTACAAACCCTGTGCTTTCATTTGTCTCATAACTTTACTTTCCTGGCTTTTCCTAAAACCTGTAGCAAAACAAGCCTTAGGCACAGGATACTGCATTGAACTTTCCAAACTGCTACTCCTCAGGAAACTCTCGCTGACTGACTGTTGGTTCCTTCAATAACAAAAAATGCGACAGAACAATAGGGTGAATCGAGACAATAGGCCATTGTTTTTTTAGGTAAAAAGCGGTGAAATAATGATGAGAGAGTTTATTTTCCTGATGACGTTTTCCATCCTGTCGCTTTGCTCTG